GGATCCTTCAGTGAGAGAGAACCCTCAGTGAAAGGAGATCCGTAGAAATTAAGGGTATAATAGGTGAAAAATGTGCTGCGAGTCTGAATTGCCATTGGATGTTGTATTCTGGCTTCACTTTTATGATTTAAAGTTGTGCGGAATGGTTGTGAATGGGGACTATGTGTGTTAGCATATCAAGGAATTAATAAAGAGTTACCGTCACTCCGTATTGTACACAGACATGCAAATTTCCAACTAAACCTGAGGAGGGAAGAATCGTCGGACTGGGAAAGTTTTAAGCTCCCCGCATAAGGTAATCATCTCACCCACACTGTGATCCTACCCACCTAATGCTTAGTTAAAAACTGCATCCCCTGGCTAAAATCGCACAACAGCGCACAGATGAACGCTGCCCATCCCTGCTATACTAACGCTTTTAGGAATGCCCCCTCCCCCAAACTAATTTCCAACCGATGGCTACTCGGTAAAGTGCGTGACTTGAAGGCCGAAGAATGTCGTGCCGATTTTTCCTCGTATAGCCAACGAGCAAATTTATAATAGCCTATATGTTATAGCATAAAATAACTTTTATGTGTACTGGTATGTATTGAGATCGAATATGTTACAAAGTCCGGCCACCTATTTTGACTTTGACAGTGACGGCTTCAAAATGTTTCTCCTCTTCCTTCCCTTCTTCCCTATTTCTAAATGCAACGAAATTCCTAAACCATACAGGCAATATTAGTTCAGCAGAGATTCCAAACTTTACAACAGCCTACGACCGGTCAACATCAAGCAATTGGCGGAGGTGCGAAGTGATTTAAACTAGAACTCATCGTGCATACTTTCATTTTATAGACGCGCAGTTGAAAACTGATCAAAATGAAGTGAACCATAATCAATCGAAACCAAATGGACCAAAATTGCAACCTTAATTTACGGTTTTAGTGCTAGCTTTACGGCTGCAGAGCAAACAGCGCTGGTAGTTCCCGACCAGGGCCACATGCTTGCAGATATAGGTATCCAGGACTTCTTTCAAAACAATTAGGTCGAATTAAAATGAAGAGTTGAGCTGATCAACTAACACAAGTTCTCAAACACATGTAATCAACATAACAACCAGTCCTCAAAACTGAATAAAAGTAAGCGTAAGGTTACGGTAGTTGCTATTAGTACGCAAGTGCAGACTGCCACCCGTGTGTAAATATGTAGCACCTCATCCCCAAGGCACGTCAATACTTTCTGAGCGGCCTCATTTAACGACCAACGGCGTCATTTATCTCCACGACCTATGGGCGTGCGCTCGTTTTAAAAGTGTTGAAAATAAAAAAATTTAGATGTCATCTGGTCAGGACAAAGGAACATGTCTCGTTGCTCGAGCAATTCCGCCGAAAATAGCTAATTCGGCAATCATGGATATATGTGATGGAATGGCAAAACTGGACTTTGATGATTCCTTCGTACAACGGAAAGCTGATAAGGTTCCACAAATTATTTCTAATCCTGTAATCATTCAAAGGTTTATTTCTCAGGTGGCGAATAACATAAACCCGTCTGACTTTGTCGCCCTACAGAGCATCAGATCGTCAGCCTTGGCCCGTAAAACGGCAACTACTTCAAAATTTTGTGGTGGCAGGCCATCCCTTTTCGAAGACTTGCTCAACAAAGATTATGTAAGCACGTTTTATATCTTTCTCGTGCAGTTAGAATTCACTCATTTACTCGTGTCGTTGCATCCCTATCAAGACATTTTGAAGGGAAAATTGGATGCTGACTCGGAACAAAACAAAGAAGAAAAGTCGTGTGACGAAAATGGTCGTAATGGAAACACCGGAGAAGAAAAAATGGACAAGGGTAAACTACTTCCGCGTGGACCTGTTAAGAACGCGCGATTTTCTCATGGTGATCGTCCGTACACTATTGGTCAGTTAAATTTCTGCTCTCGAATTGCAATTTGTTGACCTCGTATTGAGTTTCCGGTGGAAATGTAGTTGGGTTGGGAGAGGGGGGGGCAGCGCCCATCTGAATCGCTGACGGCTGGAGCGCAGAGAGGGAGGGGTAGCCGACTTTACTTGTTCATAATGCTTTTTAGCCAAAAGGTTATTGTTTTCACCTAACTTTAAGAAGGGAGAGGGTGAAATGAATATCTCGTGCAAAAAGCTGAGATGAGATAAAAATTGAACGTCTAATCGGCTTGCCCACCCCGGAAGTC